AGACAGCCTGGGCCTACTGTATCACCTAGCAGCGAAGCAGCCGGGACATATTCCGAAGCAATTGGCGGTTCCACGGCCGCCTAAGAAGCAGGGATGACCTTTCTCGTCCAGAAAGTTGGGAACGTAGACTGTTCGGCAAGCGCCTCGGGGGCTAACGCATCTGACATAGCGAACGCGGGCGAATCACGATTTTTAGGGCATGTCCAGCATTTGTGAATTGGTGTCAATTCCGCCTTGGCATCGAATACAAAGGTCGTTAGTTGAAAGCTTTGCTTCGAACCTCCTCTGCTGCTGCCAGAACCCTCCTGCGGCTATGGTCACCATCAGCTCTGAGAGCTGCCGCCCGCGTCAAGCCTGCAGCAAAGACTCAACGTACTACCTGTAGCTCAGAAGGCCCGCCCCACAGTGCTGTAAAGCGGCCTCCTTCCACAGCTGAGCATTGAGCGTGGCCTCGAACTCGTCAAGCAATGGCTGCGCCTGGTCCAGGCCAACGAACGACTTTTAGTGGAAATGCCACGTGTGAGTGCCGCTTGTCCCGTCACTCGGCACTTGCCATGCAGTAGCGGAGTTCGTTGTCCACTCCGCTTGCACCAGGTAGGGGATGACCGAGGTCATGGGACCTCGCACGCGCCTGCTCCTCTGGCCCTCGGGAATCCCCGTCAGGTTCTGGACAGCAGACGGCCAGGCGCGTATGGTCGAACTGCGAAGTGAAGGGTCGCCGAGCCAGGCTTCGAACCATTGCTGGAGACATGCGCGTGGCAAAGCTGTGCCAGGACCCGTTCCTGGTAGGAGAAGGGCGAGAAGTGTGGTGAGACACCCCCCCTCTTACTGGAGCCCGCCGCGGCGCCCAGGCGACGCCTGCGGGCCAACATGACTGAACCGAAACATCCATGAACCTGATGCCCATAAGCTGCAGCAGCCTTGATGATCCTAGGCGGAGTCCAAAACCAAAAAGCTGCAGCAGCCTGCGGACCAGCACCTTGCATCTGCGCCGTGGCTTGCCATCGCCTCGCCATGTGGGCGAAGCGGCGCAGGCGAGCGTGCGACTGGCCTGCTCTGGCCACTCGCTTCCTCGCGGTGTCCCTGGCCAGCCTGCGCCCGCTGCCGACGTCAAGTGGAGGAGGATGAGGAGGAGGAGGAAGAGAAAGAGGAGAAGGAATAAGAGAAAGAGGAAGAGGAGGAGGAATAATAGGAATAGGAGGAGGAGGTGGAGGAGGATGAGGAGGAGGAGGAGGAGGAGGCGGGGGTGGAGGAGGAA